GGTTGGATAGATGGGTCGCACTTCCATACTGTGCTGATTGTGTTTGTCAGGGCTGTGGATGTTGGCAAACCTCAAGTCACTATTCTCTTGTCTATGGAAGCAAATGTTGGGACTCAGTGGTACGGCTAGCTGTGAGAATTCACTTTAATTTGGGGGAAAGTTACCTGCCAGATATTCCTAAACGTATTCTATGCACTTTTTGGTGTAAAAATGTTAGTAGCGACGTCTTTGCGCAAATGAAAGTGGTACTTAGAAGGTGTTCGCCGATATGCTACTGGCTTCTTAGTTTGTTACAGACTCAGATAATTGCAATATCCATTCACTTGTCTTGCCTGATTTTAATATTGAATGTGACATTGTCCTATTTGAGCAGAATGGCTATTGTTGGTCTACAGACTGCTCGTAAGAGGAAGGCAGAAGAAGCGCGGTTTCGTGCAGTATTCCAAATTCATTACAATTCTTTGTGAAATTGTTACCATCTTATAAATATCAGCACCAACACTAACTCGAGTATAACTAAAATCCAAACAGCTATGGTCTAGTCAAGTATTCCTGTAGGTTACTGAGGGCTACTGTTATTTTTGTCTTTTTTACCTCTTTTTATCACACAGGACCTGTGCTGGCCAGCACCGTCGGTGGTGAGATAAGCAAAGTCGTGTTTGGTGACCCTGTGATTCATAAACCGGGCTTACTTGGCTGTTTTTACATGTTACAATAACACATGCACCCCTCTATTCATTTGTCTGCTTAAAATACGACTTGTCCAGCATTCTCTCAAATATCGCCGAAAACGGCTTTGAGATTTAACCTACAGAATTTGTGTTAGATTTCCTGCCTTTTAAAGCTCCCATTTTTTGAAATGTTCTTTTGTCAATGCCGTTGAATTTTCTGTGTTAAAATGCCTAATTTTGCATTTCAATCGTGCTCCATTTACTGTTGGGGCTGAAACTGTCAAAGAGGTGACAACTTCGTGGAGAATTGCAACGAATTTTGCGATGCTGCATGGAACCACGCTTCAACAAAGTCCCCCTCCCTGTTCTGGTTTATCAGACTTCCTTTCACAAGTTCTGTGTTGTTGAGTAAGGGACGATCACATATCTACCTTATTTGGGATCTCTTTAGTCTATTTCATTCAAGACTCCTATCTTGTGAAATAACTCATCATGTGTGAAGAAGACTTTCAATTTCACTTGAGCCATTGCTAGCGGAGGGAGATGAGACGTTGCCCTCCTTTCTGTCGTGACCTTTACGCAAATGGAGCGCACTTTTGAGCAGGTCAAGCGCAAATGAATTCCAGTTAATTGTTTTAAAGAAAAAAATATTTGTTGTACACAAACTATCGTCTTTTGAACAATAACCCGAGGGGCATGTTATGGAGAACAACTACAATGAGTTGCTGAACTGAAGGTAATCGAGAAAGAGTAATGGCCTTTACAAGATTTTGAAATAAGGCAAGACGTTAATCGGTATGTGCGCCTAAAGGCTATTTAACAATTCAAGTTTTAGAGAACATTGCCTACATTTGAAGAACACCTTTGACAGGAGTGGTGCGTAGATGAATTCAATGGAATACCAGTACGCACTCACAATTTTCGCATCCGTCATGGCATGCAATGAACTTTTTTTTGCATGGTCTGGAGACTCAGCACGTATCTCTCCATCAGGGCATGCCAGGATTCCTTAGAAAATGTTCACGTTCCATTCCTGCGAAAGATGATAATCAAAAGAAGGACAAATCCTTGCATATAATGGAGGTTAGATGATAGCTCGGAACTTTGGTGTTGGGCCTCCGTCAGTCGCATGGGTAAGGGTGAGGATGTATTTCTCTTCACCACAATGATACGATGAGCGGGATAGCAGGTAATTTCACTGTCTAGGAGATGATTAGGACAAGGCAACCTGGGTAGTTTCGTGCATTGCCACATAGGCTGCCGACAGATAACGCAGCCTGTTTTGTGTTTTTTTTTGGGTGAAATCAATTTTCACGTTTGTTGTACCCCCTTACGACAATCAAAATGACAGCCTTGGAACGCACCGAAATCACTCAAAAATGCGGCAGGGGTGGAAGAGAGAGAGAGAAAGAAAGGAGATGTCGACAACACCACCCATTTAGTCGGTCCTGTGCATTAAATGCTTATTAGTCTGCAGTCCTTCCTAAGTACGTCAATAGCGTTGCATTTTTACCTCCCAACTGAATAACTCTTAATCAGAGTGCGCAACAAAGTCAAATTAGAACGAGTGGAGATTGTTTTAGTTTTGACACATTTTATCACACCCTAGCCGGCCAACGATAAGTTGAACGGATCCTTATTACCTTACTTCACACGTTTCAAGACATAAAATGGAGGTGACAAATTCAACAGGCGATTATCGTGTGATCGGAGAAATTGTCAAGTCCTTAGACCATTTCCCGCTACTTTTTTCCTTTCATGACGAATCAACTCCGCCATTGACGACATCTCGTTTTGACCAAAGGGCAACATTTCAGGCCTGCCATCCTACATGCGGCGGCTGCGGCTTGAACACGTCCATTTGTAATCGTGACTGCTGATTAAAGCAGGCAGGTTGGCAAATGGACAGAACAGGTTTCTCATAAGTGGGACATAAAGCAGTCACAAAAGTGTAGAGAGACATTTAGCAAAAAACAACTTCAAAACTGGACCTCCTTTCGCCACTATATCCTTCATTCCTCAAGAATAGTGAAGAATGTCAACAACAGCTCAATGAAGTGGCGTTTTATCTTTACTCCTTCGTAGGATGGACGATGAGGAGCAGCACTACTACAAAAAGCTATTAAGCTGTGGAATTTGTAAACTTCTATAAAAAGGCTAACCCAGTTCCTCACATTTACCATTGACCTCATTTTTGCTCTTTTAATGCTGTTTTAGCTAGTTTTTCTGATTTCCAAAACAAGAAGAATCCTATTGAAGCAAAATGCTTCGAGATATTTGCGTTGATTTCACAAACTACGATGTGAAACATCATTAGAAGGGTGAGGTGACAATGTTTTCACTGCAAGAGGTAGAAGTGGATAATGTCCGGGGTTGAATAAGTGGAGGGGAGGATGTACTCGGAGAAGGTGGAAAAGTGGGAGCGCGTGCAAAGAAAGCAAGGCACTGTATTGGTACTGCCTTTTTATCGTATATCGTCAGTAATAATCTACAGTTAATTTTATCACCTCGGGGTAGTAAGAGAGGAATCCCACCTTTGGGCCTGTACAGTGGATATTCATTGATAATGTGGGCAAAGTTGACAAATCCTAAATATAGTAGATGGTTTGCCTATTTGTTTCAGTAATTCGTCTGTCTACTACTAGAGGATGCTTTCCAATCTGACCGATGCCGCGGAAATCATTTACGGCGGGTACTTTGGGAGTGACCGAGGCATATACTTCGTGAGCGATCAAAACAAGGGAAATGTGAAGTGAGCGACGTCTTAAGAAGAAATGAGTTAGCTCCATAATGAGCGCAAAACTTCGATTTATGCAAAACATGTACCTTCTTTAATTATGCCTTATACGAATAACTTTTTCAGTGAAAAAAAATTTGACATTTATTCCGATTAAGTCTGGTTGTCTTTTAAAGAGGTTGGAATCACTCCACTTTGCATTTATAGAATTTACTGAACGAACAGTAACGATCTGAGAAAAGGGTCTCGTTGAGTTGATTTATATCAAGGTGTAGCATTCCAACATTTCATTTTTTTCACGCATTGCACCCATCCAAGTAAAATATCGCCAGTCTGCCTTAAAGGGGATCACTTCCGACTATCCCCATCGCTAATTTGACACCCAATTATATCTATTTATATCTATTCATGT